CCCTTGTGTCTAAACAACATTCAGATAAATGAGAGCACTATTTTACTAATTTGGTTGAAGTCTATCAATGCAGTTATTTGCCTCAAATATAGTATTACAGTTGCTGACTATTTTGCACATTGTCTCAGCAGCTTAAGATCCAAGGAAGGAAATACTGGACTCTGTTTGCAAGATAGCTTGCAAAAGGCAAAGTTTAAGGGAAAAGTGTAAAACCAAATTGCCAGGCAATGAACACCAGCAGTACCCGCCGTAGTTATCATTGCCTTCCTTTTAATGTCTTCAGTGCCATTAGGTTTCCTCTCCTCCTACCATTCTCTGTAGATACAAATTTGACATGCTCTGTACTTGACTTGCCTTTAGAATAATGAAAAATAGTATGTAGTAAATGTTTTGATAATAGAAGCTAGTTTAAATTTTAAAAAGTTACTGAAGCTTGATTTTTGAAACAGAAAATGAAAGAATAAGTAAAAAGAAAACCAGGTGAGGAAAAAATACATGAACAAAACATGGCATGTATTTTTTTTTCTTAATCAACTTAAAATGCATCAGTAATAAGAGGTGAAAAACAGAAAAAAAGGCAAACAAAACCCCAAAACCAGAAACAGCAAATGAAAGAACAGGTGAAATGAAATAAGATCAGCTCAAGAAAGAAAGAAGATAAATGAGTGGGTAACTTCAACAGATGACAGAGAAGAGCAGGAGATGGTAATCTGGAGAAAGTAGAAGAGGAATGAAAATATGGGAAGAACAGGACGAAAGAAAAAAGAGCAACAGGAATGCAGCAAAAGCAGTCCTTTTTTTAAAGTGAACAGTAAAAGAGATCCCAGAGTTTACCCTGCTCTGTAACTTCAATTTACTTTTCATTTCCCCTTACCACCTTTTTTAACCTTCCAAAATTTTCCCTGCTCTAACTCTCTGAACAAATTCCTGCCTAGAGCCACTAAGTTTCCAGGAGCTGAAATGATTCTTACGCTGGTTGTTACCAAAATGCTATTTCAAGGCTGTCTGCATTCTGAGCACAAACACAACCCCATAACTTCTCTACGGCTGTTGAAATACAAAGGCACACACCTGTATAGTGGAGGAAAAAAAAATAAATCAAAAGAAGGAAAGAAAAATAGTAAGGATTTCAGGTAAAATCTAAACTCACATACACACACTTTCTAAAACTTCTAAAGAGCACCTTAAATTGCCATCAGCAGTCACTGCTGCTGAATAACATGACATTCACCTGCTCCCAACGCATTAGCATTGCAGATTCATACAACCATATGGTGAAGCACACTGAGGATACAGTTTCGGTTAAAACAAAAAGCAAACATGCAGACACCCCCCCGCCTCAATAGTAAAAATTATCCATGGTTAGTTTTAAGCCAGCCTGGTCCCCTATGTGACAATATAAGCACCAGTGACCACACAGCAGAAAGGGCTGGACAACAATAAGAAAAGGAGAGCAAGACAGGTCAGTATTTTGGGAATGGAGAGGGAAAAAAATGTTAGCTTATGCCTGCTTTGAAAGTGTTTGTGGAACTATAGCATCTGACCATTTAGGATTTGGCAATCTATTCTAAACTTTTATACCACTAAATAAATCTTTAAAAGACAACTAATAGTACTCCTAAGGAACAGTAACCATAACAGAGTGAATAAGTATGTCGAGAACAAAAGAGAAATGGATAGAAAAGCTACTTGTTTCAGTTTGATCTTTAATACATTGGACTGTAGAAGATATGAAGCCTCCAGAAAATGAGGTTTTGGTATGCCCTAAACTCTTCAGCACCCATATAAAACAAAGCACACCATGCCAGGGCTGATTGTTTAAGTACTGCTGGACAGCAATCAGTCATAACAGAAGCGCTTTAAATTGTTTCACTTCCCTTTCTGAAGCCTTAATATTATGGGATCTCTGTCAACCTGAACAAATGGCTTGCTTAAAGATGCTACTCCAAGATTTGTATCTGTTTATGTGTTTTCTAAACATGTATTTCAAAATACTTTAACCCTCATCACCCCTTAACAGTAGAGCAAGACTGCAGCACCCAGTGTTCATTAAAGCCAGGAAATTCCTGCTCTGCTCTTTATGAAGCTGTTGAGAGTTGATAATTGATTTTTTAAATTCTAGTCTTTGCAAAGAGCTATTTTAGCAATTTCCTATTAAACAATAAATTTTAATTGGCAATTTTTTTAAAATTCTGCTTATGCTAAATCCACACAGTCTTGCAATTCAAAAAAATTTAAGAAGATACTTATCAAGTTTGAGTTAATGGAAGTACCATTATGATACTCAATATCAGTATTTTTCAACCATCAATTTAAAAATTGTAATCCATATAACAAAGAAAAACAATTTAGCAACTTGCAGGTTATGTACTCTTTAGTGCTTCAGATTCACCACAGTAAATTTTTTTCCACGGGATCACAAAAAGATTCTGGGTCTTGTGCAGAATTTGATCTTCAGATCCTTGCTGACCCTTATCACGCACACCTTATCTGCAAATTTGAATACCTATGTGTTGCAATTTGAAAGAAAATACGTATTCTGTCCTTATCGATTTAGTATTGCCGATCTCAAATTAGAAACTGACAGCAGCTGTGAGAAGAACACTACATTAAGCCCTAAATGTTTCACAGTAGGCTGAACAACACCATAGAAACAACAGCACAGCTAGAGATCTTCCTAATGACTAGTTTTCCCCTCATACTTTCGGAGGAGAGCTGTGAATGACCAAAGGCCACGACATACCAAGAGAATGTGAAGCTACAGAAACTGCAGGCAAGTTACACTGGAAAATTATATGAAAAATCAGGTATTACTTGATGACAACAGGGTGCAGCATATATCTGGGGTACAAGACTGTCAATCTGTAACTGCTTCATCCTCGATGAATGACTGCTTATCAGGCACTCTGTTCCCAGCCAAGGGGATGGGGAAAGATAGCATGTTTGAGTGAAGTCCCTGGAGAGCCAGACAGTTCTTTGTTGCAGACTCTCCTCTCAATCACAAAATGTCATTAAGTGAAGCTAGAGTATGTTAAACACTTAGAATACTTAGCCTATATAAACAGCTGCTATAGCTGCAAATGGAAAGTTACAGAATTGCAAACAATTGATACTAAGTGTAACCAGAATATATAAACTACACTATTTCACCAGAAATAGGAACCTCTGGGTTGAGAGGTTCCTTGTACACATGCTGTAATTTACTATGTCAGGTGTACATACACCTGAGATAGTTGATACATACACAACTTCCCAGAACAAAGTTACCCAGAGAATAAAAGTCTTAACTCTAGAGCCACCCTGCAGTCCACAGGCATTTGAAACTTTTTTAATAGTACAGCATATTGCTAAAATACCTAGTCTGCAGCCCATTACTATCTCAAGTTTCCTTTGTCATAAAGGCTTCCCAGGATTTTCATTCCCACTGCAGATGCACACAGTATGCCTGTGTTGTGTTCCCTCCCCTTGATTTTTAGTTTTATTATCAGCTCATAACTTTTAGCTGTTTTTTTCCCCTGGTATTCAAATTCATTCCATTTACTGATAGAGCTTCACCACCAATCTAACATTATCTTCTCTTTGAGACCACTAATAAAGAGGTTAAATTAATCTACATATAAAGCTACATCTCTAAGTGCCAATCCAGAATACCAGCCACCCACCTCTCTAACCCCTCTTTCCACGGCCTTTTATCCATGCTTTTTATCTTCAGAACTAGGCTCATTTAAATTTGAAAGAAAACATGCCTAGGTACTGCTTTATTTCTTTTCTCCCCTCAAAAGAAAAAAAACAACACCCTGCCTCAGTTTCCTGAGCAGCTTTAGCTGTGTATCAATTCATAGCGTGTCAGGCAGAAAGCATGCAGAACACCACAGATAGGGCACAGGTTTGCACAGAGACCTCGTCACACTCATTACTATAAGCATCAATTCCACACATGAATATACACATATACGACACCTGCATTTTTTCCGGTCCGAACTCCTTCCCCACTTTCCCCTTCTCAAGGGAGATTCTTTTTCCATGCAAGGGGGGGAGAAGAAATTAAATACATTTGTACTTCAATACCATGTGGGAAAGTACCTCAGAGACTGAATCTAACTTTACACCATAAAAATGTTTTTATTAATCCTGCACCTTTCTAAAGACATTATTTTTCTTCCCATGAGACTTTCTTCATTTACAATTGTTGTTAGCCCACATCTCCACCTAAATGCTAAATAAAACATACAGAGAAATTATTTGAACACCAGTTTTTTGCATTTTAATATGTATCAGCCTGAACAAAAATACACGCAATGTTAAAAATCACTCCCAATTTCATTTTTGCTGTGGAAGACAAAATAAGCGTTACTTCCATTGTCACAGCTATTATTAAGAACAGAACTAGAAGGCTTATTTCAAAAAAGGATGTTCCAGACTGTATAACTGATTCACATTAATAGGCTGTACTTCCATAAGAAGCATAATTTAAAAGACGTAATAATGGCCATTCACAGGAAACCGCTCTACTTAGATTTCTTAAAGAAAATAAAAAAGCATGCAGTGTCTCTGTCAGGGACACAATGAGTATATATTGTTCTAACTGGGCTTGACCAACACACATATTTGTACTCTTCAGAAACAAATAAAAAACCCCACAAAACAGCCACTAACCTACAACGTTACCAGAAAGATGAACTGACTTTGGCTGCTATAAAGCAACTGTTCAGATTAGATGCACAATTGTACAGAAGAAAGCACACATGCTAAAGACAGTAAGTACAATAGTATTGATAATAAAGTACTTGCAGAAGTGCAAGCTACTTAGAATGGGTTTGTACATCAAATACCTACATAAAGCTGAGAATTTCAACACAAAATTCTTATAAAAACAGTAGACTGAAATGAAAATATTTCAGGTGCCCAGTATTGATATGGTGACTCTAAGGACAGAATTGTTTATTTTGTGGTTTTACTGCTCTAACAACTAATCCCACCCTATAAAAAGAACAAAATACCTTTTTTTGATTTTGCTCCAATCTTCAACTTTGATGGCCAAGCAATCTGTGTATTTGTTTCTTCCATAATCTGTTAAAAGAAAGCGTTTATGAAAAAATAAGTTTTTATTGTTCTCCCACAAGGTCAAAAGTTCATTTTTGGAAAAGATGAAGTTTACCATTTTTAGATCTGTTTACTATTATCACTTAAGTAGCACAAGTCATTAACTACTTTTCTGGTTTTCTTGAGAAGAATTTTTGTCTGGAGCCAAGTTCCAAACATTCCAAAGAAATCCAGAGAGCAAACCAAGATGCTTCACAGTTCCCATGAAGTTCCAATGGCCACTACTAGTTATAGCATGCTCTAGATTCATCACAGAGGGGAATTTCAAAACTTTACAGTTCAATAAAAGTAAAATATTTCTTTAGTTAAATCTGAAGTTTTTAAGTAAAGCCTACAAAATTTAAATCAAGTCCATTTCATTCTCCATAAGTCAAGATACATTGGTTTGCCTTCACAGCTTGGTTGGGTTTTTTTTTTCTGCCTCACCTTCACCTGAAAGCAACTTTTCACTGTAAGTCTATCCAGACTTCAAAATTTTACATCTTGGTTTAGCAGTTCAGAGTAGATTTATAAGCATTTATTACACCACAGTGCGCAACCTATCTGTAAATCTCTAACTAGCCAACAGGGAAAAACCCTATGCACACATGTATTTTGAAATCCATGTAGTCATTCAGCTTAATGTAGACTCTCATTCTGCTGCAACCTTTCTTTTACTGAAAAAGTCCATTAGCCATAGGCATATTACACTGAAATTTAATACTGGCACAGAGTTACACTGCATCACTAACACAATCAGTAATACAGGAGAAGGAATTGAACAACACCAAAGACTTCATATATATGAATTGAAATTAATTTCCAAGAAATGCTGGGCATGTCTATTGAGACTAAAGAACTTCTCTTATATTGAGATCTCATCAACAAATATGATGAGATCATACCTCTCATCATGCTTAAGAGATTGGAGTATCTGATCATCATGAATAAGAAGAGAATATCTCATAATCATGAAGAAATTAGAAAGATCTGCCCATATTAGTCCATGACAAGATGGTCATAGGATGCCAAGAAGATGCATCTATTAAATATCATACTAGGCTGCATCAGACAAGGCATTTTTTTATTAGAGATATTGATTATAGAAGGCCCTAATGAATTTTCACCTGGAACAAACTGTCCAGTTCTGTTCAGACATGGACAATTTTGTACAGCAATAAGCAAAAGGGTCCTCACTCCTTTGAAAATTTCAGTAGCTTATTATAAAAATATTAAGAGCAACCAGTTTGCTCAGCTTGACTAGTGTCAATTAGAAGGCGTCCTAGACTCACAGACTGAGTCTGGACAAAAGGGACTTCTGGAAGTCATTTAAGTCCAATCTCATGCTCACAGCAGGGCCAAGTGCAAAGCTAGCTCAGGTTGCTCAGGGCCTTGCCCATCAAGCTCTCATTACCTCAAAGGAAGGAGATTCCATAGCCTTTAAGCACATTTACGCCAGCGTGGGGCCATCTTTAATGAGAACTTATTTTCTCATATCCGGTTGTTTTTTCCTTTGGTCAACCTTTGGCCATTGTTACTTGTGCACTTTTAGGAGGAGCCTGACTCACTCAGCCCTCTAACCACTCACAGCATAGCTGAAGACTGCTACTAGTTCCCTCTTTCACCTCACCTCCTCCATGCTGAACAAACCCTGCTGTCAGCTTCTCTTTGTACATTGACTACTCTAGGCCCTTGATCAACCTGGTGATTGTCCACTGGAGTCGCTTCCGCTTGTCTGAAGGGGACACAACTGGACAAATTACTCTGTATGCAGCCTTACAGTAACTGAGCAGACAAATAACCACTTCCCTTGATCTGCAGGGTCATACTATTTTAGATAGTGAGTCTACATAAAAATACATCAGGGGCAGGAAGTACTGAGGAGATCATTTGATGCATATAATGGTAACGAGTAAATGAGTGCTCACTGTAGCTTAGGCTGTAAACCAAAAAACCAAACCTAAATCAGAAGAACTGAAAGAATATTTGATTGCTATAAGTAGGAAAGAGATAGGAAAGGAAAAGGAGAGCACTCTTCAGATGGCAACTCTCGGAGGCAGAATTAAGCAAAGCAGTACATTTCAGTACTTTTAGTCATCTGCAACAAGCATAAGCAATAACAAAAAAAATAAATTTTCCATAATAGTATCATTCAGAAGTAAGGCAGACTTCTCTAACAGTTCTTAATTCGTATCTTCTACATCCAAATCCCTAGGACATCACAACAACTTCCAGATTGGTACACCATGTGGAAAAATTGCAAGTGCCATCCAGGCTTTATTATACTGTATTTTTGGTTTCAGCAACTATTGGATAATAAGTTACAGCTGAAATAAGACATTTCCAGGAAGGTGAAATTGTCAGCAACATACACATACTTTTCACAATCTTCCAAGCCAGATGTGAAAAGAGCTATTTCAAAGAATTCACTTGTGTCTGCTAAAGAGCTTTGGGCCAGGATTATTCTTAATTGTGCAACAGGCGATGAAATACCAAAAAATTGGAAGGCATTAGCTAATGTGAGAAGGGATGCTACAACCAAGAACGGTGCAGGACTGAGTTGAAGATCCAACATAAAAGGAACCACATGAGAAGAGACAGAAGTGAATGAATGTCATTCAAGACAAGCCTTACACCCCATCAGTCCTTTACCCTCTCAATAAAGTTTGGAGACTCCTGCCTTAAAGAAATTAAATCCTTCCTATTTCTCCTGTTAAACCAAAACAAAACGAAAGCCCACAACTTCAGAGATACACACATTCTGAGGACATACAAGAAAGACATAAGAGATCTTCAAAGGAAAAAAAGTCTCACTGCCAGGCACTGAGATTTGGCTCCTTAAGGTCTTTGGAGACCTCAATGCTAAAAATTACTACATTAGACCAAAAAGAAGACTCAATTTGGTCACTACAAAAACAAGTTTATCTCCTCTCTTAGGCAGTAAGGCAAAAAAAAAAGTCTGGATGCATTTAAATGAAGTGCATTTACTGAAGTATAAAAACACTCAGATTATGTGCTGGCTTTCAACTCCAAGAAGTAAACTTAATGACAAATTCCAAGCCCATTGCAATAATAATCTTTTCCACAATTTTGAAAGTCATGTATTATATAGGGGGAAAAAATGAAATAGTTTTTGCTGCAGCACTTATTTTTTTCACCAGTGATAATAGTTTATCTTGTCTGTAAAACAATTTGAGAATTTTAACTACCTAAAAAAGGTTTGCAATGGAAAGTAACTTCTGGTTTTAGTTTTGAGAAATCGGGGCTTTCAATAGGAACCCTTAAGAAGAGTTTAAACACTATTTTTTGCTTTAACTATTTATTGTATTTATTTTATTACTTACATATTGAATTTATTGTAATCGCAAAGCTCTAGAAAACAAGAAATTGAGTGTTTACCATAGCTGTTAAACTTGGAGATAAAGATGATGTTGAAAACTGTGTGACAGAAACTCTGCATAGCGTAGATCACTGCTGCATCAACTTTTAGTTCTGTCTTACCATTCTAATCAAGATAGCTTTAAGTGCCAGGATTTTATTATTTTCCTGAAACAAATTTGGAATCAGTCCATAAAAACCTCAACTGTATGTTGCAATGGAATAGTTTCGTTAGTGAAAACTCAGTGTTATGCCACATACTGAAAACAGCAGTACTGCTCTCAAATGAACAAAACCAAACCCAGAACTCACTTTACAAGTAATATATCTATAATACATGTATTTTATTTGATAAATACTTCAGTTACAAAATATTTAGAGGAAATCCAGCCTAGGGTGACCGAATTGGAGTTCACGATCTCTGCAGAATAGCCCTCTGCTTAGGCTTCCCTTCTTTTCATATAAAGAAAGTGATAGGGTTTACACTCATCAATACTTTCCTCGCCTTGAGGGATCAACTGACCAAAGGGAGCAGGCATATTTGGCAGCAAGGTTTAGTCCCATAGTAAATAATCTCACGCTTCTCAAAATGAGGGAAACACTAAGTGATTATCTATCTATATCTTCCCTTCCCCCCGTTTCCCCAAAAGAAATTGTAGTGTTTAATGTAGCCAAAATATGTAAGCTATTCTCAGTGGAGAACATACAGAAGATGACACAAGATCTGGAAGACACCAAGAAAATAAATAAAACTGTACCCTGACCCTGAAAAAAATGGCTCTAGTTGCAAATCATTGGACCTTCAAGAAAAAAAACCAGCCATCTAGCTGTAAGGCAGCTGGAAGAAAAGCTTTTGGCTCCCTTGTATTCCAGCTTGAAAAATTTATGGTTTAAGCACTTTGGGGAGTTTTTACATTAAGACAGTAAGAAATTACTTTTTCTTACGTTGTAATTTTTTGTTTAGCTGATTTTGGATGGAAACTGGAATGCCCCAAATGCAAAAACCCAACCAACCAAAACTCCCCAAAAGCCCACGAGAATTTCAGAATTCAGAGGAAGTATTTTACACACAATAGATCAAAGAACAACATATCAAACAGACCTTTCTTCATTTAAAACGCACAGATTAAATGGAAGTAGTGTTCTTTATAGTTAGTGTTAAGCTATCTATTTCTGATTTTCCCACCTTTGGGATTTGTGCTTCTTGGCCATTCCTGCCTCAGTTCTTATTCACAGTGAAAGGAAAAATAGGTAACAGAGGAACCTGCATGTACCAGAGGGTTTCTGCAAATGGTTTTCTCAGCTTTAGCTCAACAATGAGCTCGTTCCAACTGAAGTGACAAAGGTAACTCTCAAAACTGCAAGTGTAACTGTCAAAAAAAAAAAAAAGCCAGTTGATTATTCCACGAATGGAAGAACCTTCTCTTTCAGTGTGAGGAGTTAGCTTCCTCAGTTTAACCTTGCTTAATGCAATAGAAGATACATACACCATTTTAACATGTAGAGTACTTAGACAATTAATAAGCATAAATGTTAAAAATCTTGTAAACACATTTAAATTATAATTTTAGAACAGGTACATGTTTATCTTCATATGTAAAACCATCTTTTTTTTT